TACGGGGAAAAAATAGTTTCTCCCTTCAATAACGGCAGTCTTTTATTATGACGTCGAAGGCGTGGATACAGGACGTAACTACATGGTAAAAATTTCTATCTGAAAAGATATTGGTCATCAAAATCAAAAGATCGGTAAGTACTGATGTATGCATACCTTTTTATAATGTCTTTAATGTTACCAGCTGATGGTGCTCAGTCTTTGACTTCTTCAAATCTATGGTAGGTTTCATGGTACTCAGTCTTTGACTTCTAATCTATGGTAGGTTTCATGGTGCTCAGTCTTTGACTTCTTCAAATCTATGGTAGGTTTCATGGTGCTCAGTCTTTGACTTCTTCAAATCTATGGTAGGTTTCATGGTGCTCAGTCTTTGACTTCTTCAAATCTATGGTAGGTTTCATGGTGCTCAGTCTTTAGTTTTCAATGCTGTGTTTTGTAGAGTTTTTTGTCTTTTCGTCAATTTTCGTTTTTTGTTTGCCATAGCATTATCAGTTTGTTTCTGACTAAAATTTGAAAATCTTTTGGCATCTTCTGCCTATCTTGTATTAGCAATTGTTTCTTTATCTTCGACCAATTCAAACAATATTTTTGTGGTATATTTTCATTATTATAATATTACATTACAGATAAAAACATGACTAAACGTGTTATGTGCTGTTGTAGTGATTTTCAGACAAATCTCGTGGCGTTTTTTTCTTTTCTTTCTCAGATTAAAATATCAATGTCTTGCATTGTCTACCCAAGACCATTTGCCTTATTTATCTGGTGTACCCTCCCTCTCCCACCCCTCCCCCTCCCCCTCCAACTTAAAAACAAACTTACGGGATATATTAGGTCGAATCATGAAAACATAAATATGAGGCACCGATATTTATAATACAGATCAAAACAAGTTTAACAAAATACAAAATTGTGGTTTTCCTTAACTGGTATTTTGGAAGTACGTGAAATTCCTCTCATAGAATGTAATTATGGATGCCAGATAGAATTATTATGTAATTTATTCTCACTGGCTGATTCAAGGGGTCGGATCGGAAAAAATAGAGGTTTTTTGCATATATCAGGAGAGAAAAAAAAATGTGTTCTATTTTCTGAAATTACGCCCCCTTAAAAAAATAGTTTTTAATAGTCAATATCGAATTTGTAAACTAATATATACTGAGTTAAAAAAAATAAAAACTCTTTTTGTTTCATATTTCAGTTATAAACTTCAATTCTAAAAAAAATTTATTAAAACATTATTGTAACAAAGCAAATAAACCATAAGGTTACATTTTTTCACCGACAAAAACTCGATTATTAAATTCATTTCTTCAATTTTGGAAGTTTTTAATTTAATGTTTTTCTAATTAAAATATATGTTGCTAAACAATTTTACTCAGTATACATAGACACCAATATGATCTGGTAAGATTTTTATAATATCTATCAGTATTTTTTAAAATATTGTAGATTGTTTTCATTTTATTTTTGAATAAAAATGGTTTTCATTTAAATATGTTTCTGTTTGATTGTCACTAACGATTACACCCATTTGATTGTAAATTTTCAAGCGAAACTGTATTTTGTAAATAACTTTGCTTGCTCATTTGTTTACTTGTTTGACGCTGACGTCAGCACATTTTCTAAAAGAATACCGCAGATATCACCTGAAATCCTCTCGCTACTATTGCATGTACATACTGTACCGAGGACGTTTTCTAATTTGATATAGTCCCGGGCTGAATTTATAGTATAAACACATACTCTAATTTCGAAGACCGTATATTGCGGTTTGCTATCTCATTTGATGTACACCCCGTGTATCATTTTATTTATATGAATATATATACACAAAATTGGAATCGTTTTATTAAGGAATAACAGTTTATGTTCTTTTCGATGAAAAGTATACCTCAATTGAGTAGCATTATTCGGTGTAGTTTAGTCCCCAATGGTGACTGGGGAATAGAAATATGGTCGCATAAGTCTTCTTCCGACCGCCAGTTAAACCTTTGACAAAATGGGGCATCTGTGTCGTTGTGTGGGATATACAAGTACTCACGTCAGGTCAGAATGGTGACGTTAAAATCCGATGCCTCGATTACAGAGAGTGCCACGCTCTTTGCACGTTATGAACCCTTGCAACAACTCTTTGAGGGGTTTGTAAGTGCCTTGTTACAAGGCAAAATGTATGTCCCTATAAAAAAAAGAAGATGTGGTATGAATGCTAATGAGACATTACTCCATTAAAGACCAAATGACATAGAAGTTAACAACTATAGGTCACCGTACGACCTTCAACAAAGAGCAAAACCAATACCGCATGGTCAGCTATAAAAGGCCACAAAATGACAAATGCCTATACTCATTTTCCAGTGGCAGTCCAGATTTCCCCGACCTTCATCCCGGGCGGCCTGTATTACAGGACCTATTTATTGTATTTACTGTTAATTTGTTCTCATCATAAACTTGTATGAAATATTTGCCACTGGACGTTCGACAACCAACTATCAATCAATCAAAGCTAGTTTATGGCGTGAGTGTATATTACCTTTACCTTTCACTTCGCAGATTTGACGTGTATGGAGATTACCTGTGCCTATTATGTAAAGCTGTGTATGGCTTAACCTCACAACAAACTGTTTACAAAGATGATGTCTCGAGACTAAGAATCAACAAATGTAAATTATTTAGAATGACGTATAGATTGGGGGTGGTCATTAATTTTCAAATACTTCTAAAGTTTATCATATCATAAATATCTACATGAAAGATGTATATCTTAGCTAGAGTAAAGGGAAAAGAGGATCTGGATGGGGTCCTTCATTTCTGTAAACTTTATTTGTTAGGGCCATTTTTCTCTATTCTTTATATGTTTGCCAATTATTCTCTATTCTTTATTTTTGTTTTGCTTAGTTGTCTCTATTCTTTACTGTTATTGTCCATTTTTTTTGTGTGGTAATGGTCCATTTTTGTCTATTCTGTAAACCCCATCTTGACCTCGTATAGAGCTGGATATTTATGAAAGGCCATTGTGAAAGCCGTATGCATATCTATTCATACTTTCTAGAATGTATTGCAATGTCTGATAGCTGTCTAATTGACGTATACTCTCTACCTCTTGAAGTCTTCGTCAGCAAATAACATTTATAATATGAAAATAAGAAGATGTGGTACATGTATGAATGTCAATGGGACATCTCTCCACCAGATACCACATGATGTAGAAGTAAGCAACTATATGTCATCGAACGGCCTTCAACAATCACCGTACGGCCTTTATCAATGAGCAAAACCCACACCGCATAGCAAGCTATAAGTACCAAAGCTAATGCATTAGATGCGAATTTTGAGAATTTGCTATTTTCAGTGATGCTCTAAACCTAATAAAACGTTGGAAACTGATCAAACCAAAACAGGACAAAAATTCAAACAAAAAAAAGTTAATTTACAAAAATAGGTATGAAAATTCAACATTAGCCCAGAACTTATTGTGTCTTCGTCGTACTTTGCGTTACAGTATTATATTGTTCCAACTCTCTCAGGCAAAGCTGACCTTAGATTAATTTGGCTATTATTTTAAAATACTTTTTGGTCTGTAGCTCTTCATGTGTTTCGGTACTTTTAGGAAAGCGCTTCGGACGCAATTAATTAATAAAGTGTCGCTTTCCTTTTTATAGCTCTGGGTCGATACCGCCGGTACTTTTACATCCTTGGCTTTGAGCATTCTTGATGAAGGTTAACTAAGGAAAGCGCTTCTGACGCAATTAATTAAAAAAGTCGCTTTCCTTCTTTTTCTTTTTTTTTTCTTTTTCTTATAGTTCGTCCTGAACATGCATTAAATATTTGCCACTGGATGTTAAGCAACCAAATATCAATCATCCTTGTTATAGCGCTGGTCGAAACCACATTTGATGGACAGATCTTTGACGAGGGATTATAGTTGTTTTACATTGAACTATGTCGTTCAATCACACCGACTTTGAAAATATATATATATATAGTTGAAATTTTTTTTTTCCTGATAATATTGAACAAGTTTTTAAAATTGTTCGTAATTGATCAACCGATTTCCCACGTAAAATGAACTTGTATTTATAATGGCCATTATTCTCTATACTGTATAATTTTATCACCTCTTTTTTCTCTATTTTCCCCCCTTTTTTTACCCTTCATTCTGCACTTTTGGCCATTATTCTATCTTCTGTAAAGCCCACCTGGACCCTTTAAAATAGTATTTGATGACATGATGTACTTGTCAATCCCAAATAAAAGAATTTGATAACAACTTACGAAAAATAACACAGTTACAGATTCAGGTCTAGACGCAGAGAGTCTACACCCCCTTTTTTATTTGAAAAAAAAACATATAAATTTTTAGCATAAAATCGTCAAAAAATGTTCGCTTCTGTACCAATAAGCGAAAATTAAGCCACTCAAATAACATAAAAAAAACAACAATGAAGACAGGACAATTTATGTTATTAATGGATTAAGATCAGTTATTACAATATAACTCTATTTGAAACATCACAAATAAGATTGTATAAGGAAACTGGCAAAAATTATTACAAGAAATTAGTATTTTGAGGTTTAAACTAAGATTTAATCATAGAATCTCAGAAAATAGGAAACTTGATCAAAGATTGTTTACGAAAACTGACAAAAGTTCAAGTTTCAGAGATTACTAATTTTGGTCAAAAATTAGAATTTGTATCATGAAATCTCCGAAAACAGGAAAAAATATCCACTACATTTGAACTTTGGTGGACAGTTGTCTCATTGGCAATCAAACCACATCTCCTGTCTTTTATATTTAAAGCAATGACGATACATGAGAAGAGACACTATTATCTTATCAAAGTTTTATTAAATATTTGACCACTTGAAAATTCAATATATACATGATATAAACTTGTGCAATAAAAGGTAAGCAGTCGATATCTTTATTTAAACAGTCATATCTCTCCGATTTATTATTGTTTAAATCGATCACCCATACTCTAATCTAGAAGGAAGGAAAAACAATGGTGGTCTTTTGTCGGTTGTGGATATTTTGTCTTATGCTCATAGGATTCGTATAGTATTCAGGTTAGTTTTACAGATACATATAGAGTCTGCTTCTTCTTAGAGTGAGTAATGATATATTTTACTCACGACAGTTACATCTTAGAGTCTGAACGTATGACCATAGAAAAGCAGGTTAAACCTGGCTTTGTGTTGGAGGCCTCACTGTGACTTTTAGATGAAGAACAGCAATAAAAGCGCTGTTCCTTTGCTTTTTGTGTGTGTGTGTGTTTTTTTTTTTTTTTTTGCTGTGCATGTACTGATTTTGTGTCATGGATGGATACCCCCTATCCTTTATTTTTCTATTGAAACTTAAACAATCCAAATTAAAAAAATATTGCGGGAAATCACGAGAAAACAGATGGATACTCTGTTTAGTATTTTTTTATGTAATACTCCATGAACAATTAGGTCAACACAATGACACTGTTGTCAAAGAAGCTACATTTAACTTGATATCATAAGAAATTGCAAGAAATGACAGTGCCGGAAAATACCAGCTTATTACAAGAGAAAATAAAATCCAAATGTGGTTTAATTAATATTTTTACAGCACCTTGCTTAGATGAGCGTCATGGGTTGATAGTATTTTTGTAAAATTTTAACGATAAACGCTTGTTTGATTTTGTGATTGTTCCTTTTTATTGTTAATCAAATCAATAAAATATTTTAAGAACTTTGACTTGACAATCGTCGAATCAAAACTAGAGTATAAAAGTTTCATTTAAGGATGTTCGCTACTCTGTTTCAAAATAATTAGCCTTTTAAAAGAGTATTATAAATTGAAAGTATATTAATAAAGGAACTGAAATAACAGAAAAAAAGAAGGATCCGAACATCCTTAAAGCTTAATATAATACGCCAATGTCACTCTGACGGATTTGTATCAACATGCTATGTCTATCCTAGTTTCTGGTATCTTATCTGATCAAAATCTTTGGGCGATCAGTTACTTGATACCAGTTTGAAATAAGACTTCCGTAATGTCGGCAAAACATTAGAACGCAAGTAAAGTTTTTAAGATCATATTTTTCTCTTTAAGGGGTGAAAAACTTATTGAAAACATTAGTAAGTATATTAAGCATAGTCTCATTGACAATCATAGCACATCTCCGTATCATTATATATACATGTTGATGCATGTTTGAAAAATACAACATATTATGATGTTGTCAGATCTTCGAATAAATACTGAGAATTTTAGTGAAGATTTACGGACTTTATGAATTAACCTTGGGATAAAACATATCTAGGTTATTTGGTCATGTTAGTCAACATATCTAGGTTACTTGGTCATGTTAGTCAACATATCTAGGTTACTTGGTCATGTTAGTCAATATATCTAGGTTACAAGTACTTGGTCATGTGAGTCAACATATCTAGGTTACTTGGTCATGTTAGTCAACATATCTAGGTTACTTGGTCCTTCTTTTTTCACTTTATCTGCATAGTGGAAATGATCACCCTTTTTGCTACATTTCCCTATCATCGAAGTAAAATATGTCCTTTTCCATAACTCTACCAACTTAACTTATATACAATTTCCCAGTAGGATCTGATGATTCTAAATAAAGGCAACAGTAGTACAATGTATACCGGTGTTCAAAAGTCACAAATCGATTGAGAGAAAACAAATCCGGGTTACAAACCAAAACTGAGGGAAACACATCAACTATAAGAGGAAAACATAATACCTACCAAAGAAAAATAACTCTTACAAAATTAGTTGACATGTTTGTGACTCGAAAGGCTAGAATAGAAAGAACAGTAAGTCAATTGGCTTTTGTAAATACAAAAAAGCATACAGTGAATTATTATAAAAAATAAGGAGATGTGGTATGATTGCCAATGAGACAACTTTCCACCAAAGTTCGAATAAGGTGAATGTGAACAGTTATAGGCAACCGCACGGTAGGTTTATATTAGTGTAAAAACTCCCACTGTTATCCAGAAATAATCGGCAAAAAATGATCTGTTCCGAGTTTATTTGCAATAATTTCGAGAAAGAAAAAGAAAATCACAAAAATCAAATTACAAAAAACAAAAAGACAAGACAAGACAAGAAAAATTAACCAATCAATACAATAAAAAATGAATCAATCCACCCCCCCCCCCCCCCCCCCCCCCCCCCCACAAAGACAGATAACAGCAACGATTTATTTTTAGTTTTGTTAAATATTCGTTCGCATTTATTGTAAATCAAGTTCACGATACTTGCATTTAGTGAGTTTGATAACAGGTAAATAATATAAAAACAAACAACACGTATACATTTATTTATATTTTTAAATTGAACTAATTTTATTCCAGATACATTATGGTGCTACCAATGTGGTGATAGTTCTGCCACTGGTTCGTGTATAACGGACACAGCTGGCATGGAAGCAGAGTACATAGAGTTCAATATTACAAACTCTACTACGAAAAAAGATCAGCCCATATCTGATAGCGGCACAAAGACGAAAAAATACCAATATCTAAAGAATTGTCAGAAATCAGAATATGATAGGTGTGCCATTGAGAGGATATAAGAACAAGGTAGTATATTTACTAATTTCATATTTTTTAAATATCAGTAAAAAATTACCGAATCGATTAACAAAAGAAAAAATCCTCGAGGACCTCCAAAGGTTGACCTTACTTCGATTTAGCGATGACTTACTGTTAAGTCTAGTGCGGTTTTTGCTTCTTGTGTCTTTATGAATGAGTAAACCTTCGTAAATTATTACAATGCTTAACAAATACCATCGACTGTTCATTGTAGGTAACATATATTAAAATGAACAACAGTACAGTTGTTACGATTGGCTTACATCGTCCTAACACCGGGAATTCAACCACTGCCATAGTGTTATTTTGATTTTGGGTACGAACAATGAAACTACTCAATATATAGGCAACATATAATCTGAAACGGGGAATTACAGATTCGTTATTTGACAATAAGAAATGTTTTGTGGCCTTTTCTCATCAACAACAATGCAAAGTTTCTTGATTTTCATATTACCAAGGTAACCCGCGTGCTCATTTACTTATGTTGTCTCCTTCTACATAGAATATTTTTAATCAAAACGAAGGTATAGATAAGTGGCCAGAAGGTCTCAATTTCTCTTATTTCATGGGATTGTTGTCTCATTTATATTTTTTTACTATGTTCGTGTAAACTGGAAGTAAAAAAAAAAGTGCAATGATTTCATTGTGAAATTGCTACAAGAAGATTATACTGATGAACAGCTACACACATATTTAATATATTTTTCGTGTATTGCAATGTTTACGCTCAATATAAAAATATGACGATGTATTATAATTGACTATGAGACAACTTTCCACTAGATACCAAAAGACGTAGAAGTTAGCAACAACAGGTCACCGTACGGCATTCGACGATCAATCTCTATTAGATTGTGATATTAATGAATCTATTGTGGAATTGCTACAAGATAATACTGATGAGCAACTACAAACCTATTTATTATATTGTGCGTGTATTGCAATGTATATGCTCAATATAAAAATAGGACGATTTGGCATAATTGACAATGATACAACTCTCCACAAGAGACCAAATGACGTACTAGTTAGCAATTAAAGGGTACCGTTCGACCTTCAACACCTAATATAGATTGAGATATTGATAATTATCAGAGGTTTTTGTCGCATGTTTGTTAGCAGCTACACATGAGAGCTTCTTGAGTATTGGTACTATAAATGTCATAATTAGAATCCAATCGTATGCTTATCTTCTGTTGTCTGCTTTCACATTAATTGTCTTCTTATTTAAGGACTACTCCATGCATATATACGGGATTGTCACAGCAGTGCTAACAACTATTCATTTTATGACCCGAAGTTTTTAGATTTAGACCCTACACGTAACCACACATCATGTATCTACGACGCCTTTTCAAAGAGAGTAGCTTGTGTCACTGTGTGTGAAACAGACTTTTGTAATGGACCTCAGATAGCCGGTGGAAATGGCTGCCGCGCACAAACATTAATTGTTTTGTTTTATTCTATTCTTGTATTTTTAAAGTATATTGTTTAACGTATAGTGAAACATTGGTTAAATGACATTTTGTTTAACCTGGAATACCAAATGTTGAGTGCTACGCTTCTTGTGAGTTTTACACACGATGGGATAAACACGGTAATTCGATATATTTAGTACATATTAATCTACTTTTCACAAGAGTACACCAAAAAGGCTGACAACGTCATCAACAATAGAAATTGAACCAATGGTGTCAATTACCCACAATCATTTAGAAACACCGCGATCTCCCAGTCAAATAAAAACAATATTTTGTTACATGTAAAATAAATCTTGTATTTTTTCTCCTCTGACGTCAAACAACAACAGACGTTGTCATCTAAGTTATATATACATCTGCTCTATGGTCGGGTCGTTGTCTCTTTGACACATTTCCCATTTCAATTCTCAATTTTATAAAAAAAAAAGCGAAAATGCGTAGAACAATATAGTTATTTGCCTTTCCCACTGTATTTGCATTAATATTCAATGCAATAAAAATAACAACTAGTCCAAGAATTCAGATATTGAAAATAGTCATTTCCTGACTGATCAACACAAGTCTTATAGATCGCTCCTTTGCCCTGCGCTATGCGAATTAATGTTTTGTTCGGTCAAGTTTTCAATATTTTACATTTTTAGATATCTTGGATGCAGTCATCTTATAACAATTAAATACACCCGTTGTTTTACCTTCATATTTCGAGTGTAGATAACGTTACTCTTGTGTTCGTTATTTCTATCTGTCAGAACAATTGAGGGTGCTGAGTTAGGTTTCTATAACTTATATCAATATACGTGTTGTTTACATCTGTCAGGACAATTGAGGGTGCTGAGTTAAGTTTCTATAACTTATATCAATATACACGTTGTTTACATCTGTCAGGACAATTGAGGGTGCTGAGTTAAGTTTCTATAACTTATATCAATATACGTGTTGTTTACATCTGTCAGGACAATTGAGGGTGCTGAGTTAAGTTTCTATAACTTATATCAATATACACGTTGTTTACATCTGTCAGGACAATTGAGGGTGCTGAGTTAAGTTTCTATAACTTATATCAATATACACGTTGTTTACATCTGTCAGGACAATTGAGGGTGCTGAGTTAAGTTTCTATAACTTATATCAATATACACGTTGTTTACATCTGTCAGGACAATTGAGGGTGCTGAGTTAAGTTTCTATAACTTATATCAATATACACGTTGTTTACATCTGTCAGGACAATTGAGGGTGCTGAGTTAAGTTTCTATAACTTATATCAATATACACGTTGTTTACATCTGTCAGGACAATTGAGGGTGCTGAGTTAAGTTTCTATAACTTATATCAATATACGTGTTGTTTACATCTGTCAGGACAATTGAGGGTGCTGAGTTAAGTTTCTATAACTTATATCAATATACACGTTGTTTACATCTGTCAGGACAATTGAGGGTGCTGAGTTAAGTTTCTATAACTTATATCAATATACACGTTGTTTACATCTGTCAGGACAATTGAGGGTGCTGAGTTAAGTTTCTATAACTTATATCAATATACACGTTGTTTACATCTGTCAGGACAATTGAGGGTGCTGAGTTAAGTTTCTATAACTTATATCAATATACACGTTGTTTACATCTGTCAGGACAATTGAGGGTGCTGAGTTAAGTTTCTATAACTTATATCAGTATACATGTTGTTTACCTATATACTGTGAATTATTGGTGACTGGAGCATTTCCGTTTTAATGGTAAAATCTTGTTGGGTTGCTGTATAATTGTCTTACAATAAGTCTGTTTTCATCTTTTATTTATGTAATGTTAATTCTATGAGTGTGGTAAAGGGTTATTTTTGTGCAACGTGTTTTGCCATTTTCATTTCACGTGCAGCATGAAAAGGGTTCGTTAATCACCGTGTTTCGTGAAATCGGTAAAAAGATCAACGTGCAAGAAATTTTTAATTGTTCGTTCATTGTGAAATGGCAATATAATTTCGCGTTCTTCCGTGCAGATCCCCCACTTTTACGCCCCTCTTCTATTCTAGTTATTAAAATTTTGAATTAATTATTAATGATAGAAAAGAGATAGGACTTATATTCCTTGACTTTATTCCACACCAGGCTAGCGTTTTACAAAAAAAATCGCACGATTTACCTTTACGATTAAACTTACGGTAAGCGTTAGATTTTAGCTACGAGTGTTTCAGAAAGGTGATCGTAAACGTAACGTAAACTTACGATTAAAAAGAAAAAAAAGGTGCTTTCTTTGACAGGCGCGTTAATGTCTATAAAAAGAATCTTTTTTTCAAAACCAGGAAGAAAATTCATATCATCGTATTTGGAAATGGTTATTAGTTTTTTTGTTTGTATGGTAAATAGGTTTTGTGAGGTAAGTGTCCCGTCTAGTTATAGGATATTTTTTTGCTTGGGTTTTATTAGAAAAATTGGCTGGTGGTGGGTTTTTTTTTTTTTTGCAAGCACGGTCTGTTTTTGATACTGTTGCAGGGGCGGATCCAGCCATTTTTAAAAGTGTGTGTGTGTGGGGGGGGGGGGGGGGGGGGGAGGCTGTTCCCATCCCAGGATAAAGGAGAGGGGTTCCAACTATATGTCCCCATTCAAATGCATTGATCGTCAAAAAAAGAGGGGTTCCAACCCCCGGAACCCCCCTTTCCCCCTTGATCCGCCACTGTGTCTATACAGGGGCGCTCCATGCCCCAGCCCACACCCCATTCAATCCGCCTCCTAGTTTTTATACTGATTCAATCAGACTTTTTCTTCAAAGGGACACGACATCGAGACAAACTACAGAACAAATGATATTTTGCTATAAAACGCCTAAAGCTACAGTTCAAGCTCCCGTTAAAAAGCCATATAAAAATAAGGAGATGTGGTATGATTGCAAATGAGATAACTATCCACAAAAGTTCAAATAGGGGATGTAAGCAATCATAGGCAACCGTGCGGCCTCCAACAAGGAGAAAAACCCATATCGTATAGTCGGATATAAAAGGCCCTGACTTGAAAAATATGAAACAATCCAATTGAGAAAACTAACGGCCTAATTTATAACAAATTAATTTATGAGAAACAAATACCCCGGTATGACAGACATGAACCAACGACAACCACAGAACTACAGGCTTCTGAATTGGGACAGGCACATATATAATGTGGGGGTGTTAAACTAGTTTGCTGGCGCCAAACCCTCCCCCTAACCTGGGACAGTGGTGTAAAAGTACAACATAAGAACAAACTATAAAAATCAGTTGAAAAGGGCTTACCTCATCAGGTGGATACAAAGCAGAAAACATCTTAACGAAAAAACAGACCAGAAGTGTCAGCGTATCTAAACATCACACAACAAAAAAAGACACTAAGTAAAGATTTGAGAGTACTCGCAGTTACTGACAGCTAGTTCAAAGCCGAAAACAGCTAATACAAAAAAAATCAGGTATCTTAGACTAAAATACCAATCAGTACACATCCAACATTCAATGGATTTAGTGTGAAAACACCATTAACAGTCAGAGAAAAACATGACCTTGTGCAATGCTAAAATATAGGTATCGACAGATTTAATACTGTTAATGTGCATATGTTCATTTCATATTTTATAATGCTATGCATTTGCTACTGTGTCATCCTAAAATATAATGGTCATCAGGAGATTTAAAAGATTTTGAAAAGCATAAATGTCTACATCTTTTTTATTATTATTTTTTTTTTATCTGGGGGTAGGCGTTTCCACAAATTGCTAATTCATATAAATGATGAAAATTAATTTGAAATTTTTGATTTGTGTATCTATAAAGGGCGAATCTAATATCCCGCTGATGCACATTCCTAGACCCCTTTGCCTCAATTTCTTTTGGAGTGCGCTATGGCCGTGAATTCAATGTAACTATAGAATGAGATATCAAGAATATAAAAGGGTCTTGACGGGGTTTCCTTCTAATCTGTATTCTTAAATTTTTTTTACCATTTTTCTATATTCTTTATTAATTTGGCACATTATTCTCTATCCTTATCATGTTGGCCGACTTTTCTCGGTTCTTTATTTTTTTAATCCATTTTCTGTAATATTAGTCCCTTATATTCTCTATTCTGTAAACTCCATTCAGACCTTCATATAATTTTTTTTTTTTTAGTGGACCAGTCAGCTAGCAATTTGTGACTGAAACGTTAATGTTAAATAAATAAATCGATGCATTAACAAGAATCGGTGCAAGACTATGTGTCCATAGGACACCAATCCCCGCTCGCACTATAACGTATCCATGTTAATTTTGCATATTTGATAAACAGTTCTCTGCATAATGAACATGCGCACCAAGTTTCATTTTGATGTGATCTCAAAGTAACTTAAACCAAAAGTTTAACCGCATACACGCTTTAACTGACATTTCATTGATAACTGACCATTGAAATCTTGGTCAAACCATAAGGACAAGTGGCGATAAGGGTCGTTTTGGGACCCGTCGCCACTTTCATTTAATGTGTCATGTTGTAACCATCGGGAAACCGTAAAGTTTTGTATTTATTTTATATACCGGTCTTCTGTTCGTAGCAACATGTATAATGGAGGTGATAAATTAAATCAGTATGCTTAAAATACAGTTTTATTTTATTTCTATGACAGATTAAACCGGGTGAATAGGACATTTATATTTCAATATGCTCTTTATGTATTACACAAAATTAAGTGCATACTTTTTGGCATTTGTTTTTATATTTTAATTGACTGTGCGAGTTTTCGAATTATACAGATACTAGTAGATACATGTGGTACATATACTAAACTCGAAGGAAAATGTCAAAGATAGACAAAAAACTCAATACTATCAACAAACAAAACTATTGGTAAATAACTAGTATTCAAGAGAATTTTGTAACGTAATAGGGGCCTCGGTGGACGAGTTGTCTAAGTAGTTCAACTACAGCGTTCGCTAGCCTTATAACACTGCTCGTGGCCGTATTCTGACCTTAATTGACCTGGATTCTCCACGGTATAGCACAGAGTAATAACAGTGGCGTTAAACTCAACAATAAATCAATCTCAATATAACGTAGCGAACATCAAGAATCGTTTGTGGAATACAATATATATCCTTTGGTTTTATGGAGAAATAGTTCATCATTATATTTGTTTCATAATCTCGTACATTCGTTTGATGTGTTTGAGCTTTTGATTTTGCCATTTGATTATCACTTTATAAATTTTACGGACGCCATCACCAGTTGGTTGATCGTTA